GAGAGCAGCTCGGAAGAGAGGGGCGGGGTCAGCAGAGCTCATTAACATTTAAAGGAAAATGCTACAAAAACGGCTTGATCTGAAAAGAGCTGTTTTTGACAGGGTAAAAAAGGTTTTTTACACTACCATTGAGAAATTTTAACCAAACTATGTTACAGATTTTTCATTAAGACCCCAAAGAATCATATCAACTTGTGGAAAATGGGCATCCTATGACCCCTTTAAGAGTTGAGTTAATGTTATTACGTTTACTGAGTTCTGATGTTCATTGTTCTCCATATTATCGAGCCATGTGTTACGTAACATTATGTGACTATGCTAATTCATCCGTGCTAGCTTTACAAATGTATTAGTCAATTTTTAATATTCATGTGAGTCATGTGAGCTACTTAATGCTGGTAAATGTGAATGTTATTGTGTTCATACATTATTATGTTCATGTGTGAGGGGAAGAGCCTAAAAATGTGTTCTGAGTTTGTCACACCACAGAAACAATGTGTTATTAACCACCCAGCCAAATTTTAATTATAAAAAATTAGTAAATAAAATAAATCTTGGAAAACTAAGCAATATTCTCTGCGCTCAAACGCTGGCGGCGCTGAAACCACGCCCACTCGAGGGAAAGCTGCTGCCACTCTCATCTGTCAAATTTAAATAAGGAGACCGAGCTGTTTTGTAAATTATTGCAACCAGGTAATATGTATTTACGTGATGAAGGCATAGCTAGCTCGCAAACTGTAGGCTGTAGTAACTAACGGTAATGACAGTAACTGGCGATTGAGCGGCGAATCACTGATGCTAATGCTCTCTAGTTATTATAGTGTTAGGGGAGGGGCCATGCTCAGTGGCTCCAGTGCGTCATCGAGACATGATTTCAGCCCCGCCCACAAAATCCCTAAACACAAAAGTGAGGTAAGCGGCCGCTTAGGGCCCCATCTGATATAGGCGAAAAATATTTGGCAAACGCTCCAGTGTGTATTTGTGTTCTGGAGAGTGTCAAATTTTCATAACGTGTGAAGAGGTAAATAAACTATAAACTATGAGAGAGAGAGAGAGAGAGATCGCAAAATAAGGGTTAGGCGTAAAAGAGCATGCTTAGTTATTGTGTTGGGGCCTCATACCTGACATTTGCTTAGGGCCCCCAAATCACTAAGTCTGCCCCTGAGTACAGTCATAAATTCATGGAAATAAATCAGTTTGGCATATCTGTCTCTGCTGATGAAAGCAATATCTTTAAACAACTACATTCTCGCCTAAAAACTACATTCTCTGACACAACAACAGTAATATTTGTAAAATTATAGTGTATGTTTTGCTCATCTGCTGTGACGCTCATGCCTGTTTCACACATACTCCGTCTGCAGTGCGTATGCAGTCCATGTGCGTTACGTCTGTGGTGCAGAAGCAGCACGGATTCATTGTGCTTTCACACAGGACACGTTTGCAGTCTGCTACTGATCCACAGCTGCTTACCATAAACACAACATTTATCTATTATATTG